CAGCCACTGGGGAGGTGTCTCACACCTTCACCTTTGTGGGCTGCAGGTGCCCCCAGGCTGTTTTGGTCTATGAGGGCAGGCACAGAGGGGAACCCAGCCCAGCAATGCTCAGCTGGCAACTGGGGCAACTTTGCCACAGGATGATGAGGCCAAGGGGAGGTGGAGAGCAGGATGGGACTCAAATACTGCTTTTCAAAGACAACCCCAGTGGGTCTCCGTGCTCAATTGAGACCACTGCATCTGGCTCAAGAGGCTCTTGAGTCCTCTTCCCTCATCCCTACGTTCACTATTTCTAGCAAATCTGCTGTTGTCCAGAATAAACCTGAGGGAGAACTGGAAACCAGAGCAGAGAGTTACAGAGCAAGGCGACCAGTTCACATTTCATTTGGGCATCATGCCACTCTCTGGAGCTCACACATGGTGCTCACCCAGCACTCGGGATCAGCCTCATGCTGTCTGGACTGTCTTTTATCAAGGTGCTAAAGCCTGGGTCAGCGGCCGGGGCGCTTGGATCACTTGAAAGATGAGAGGGTGGATTTGGATGGGATCTGGTGTTCAGCCCAGCAGCTGTGCAGCCCTGTGCCCTCTCCATTTGCTCTTCCCCTTGGCTGTCTGAGGTGTCTGGTAGACACTCAGACGTCTGCGCTGAGCCCCTGTGCAAACAGTGCCAGGTGAGTATCTCCATGGTGCCACCAAAACGGGATGGGGATGGCAACGTGCAAAGCCCACGGGTCAAATCCTCAGTGTGTTCAGCTCCTGAGCCCATCCTAAGACTCTGGGGACCATGTCTCCAGGCCACCTCTGCTTTCTCTCCTTCTCGACTCCAATTTGTTGAAGCCGAGTTCATAGTTTTCAAGCTTTACAGCTTGATTTGTTTATTTTAGCTGTTATTCCACCGCTCTCTTCAGCCTATAAATTTCAAGGTCATCCCATGCTCACCCTTGGATGAATAAACAAGCGTGGCGGGGCCATGTGTGGGGAGTAAACTCATCATGGTGCTGGGACCGCCCCAGCCCTCGCTCTGCACAGTGCCCAGCATCAGAGGGGAAGGGGACCCACCTCTGGAGTGGGATCAGGGTGCTCTGGTTACGTACCCCAAGGGAGACCAGACCAGGGGCAATAAGTCCAAGCTGCTCTCTGAATAACTGCAACAACGGAGCTGCATGGGTGTTGTGAAGTCAGGCTGCGGAGGACTGGGACTCCTGGCCGGGTGCAATGCCCCAAAGGCTGCTGAGACACGTGGTTGGGGACAAGGGCACCCGGCACTTGCTTCCAAGACCTTCAGGCCATGCTGAGCTGCAGTCCTGCTCTACTGGGGCTGCCAAGCTGGGGAGCTCTGTAGCTCTGATTTTCCAGAGACCAGCAAGCTTGATCAGCAAGCAGGGTCCTGGCAGCCCCCGGCAGAGCAGCCGCCCCACGCACCCATGGCGCTTGCAGAGATTCATTTCAGCACCCTTAAGGTCCCTTTAAGCACACTTAAGATCCTCAGGTTTCCTAAAGCCCACTGAGATCCTGATGCTTAGGAAGCCAGAGTCAGTATTCAATTAATCAATATGCAAATTGCTTAATTGATTATGCCCCTCCCAACACTGGACACAGGGATGTCTGATGGGTCTGAGCTCTGAAAGGCACTGGCTGAACAACCCTCAGCATCTTGTATCCACCCACTGCTGACGTGGGGCCTCTCAAACCCAACCAGCAGTCCCTAAACATGGGTGATGGTGTTGGGAGAGACGGGAAAAGGATTTGAGGAGGAACAGGTTGATACACACACGGGTGAGCCTCAGCGGTGTGGAAACGTCCCCTCCCAGGCACGAAGCTTTCAGGGTGACCAGGACACTGTGTTCCCCAAACTCCTTCACCTTCTGCCATGGAGATGGAGACCAATTTCAGTGCCAGATTAGCCAACACACTGATACACGACCCAGCCAAACACAATTCCTTCCACACGCAGTGGCTGTGCAAAGGTGGTGGCTACCAGATTTCCCCAATGGGCTCCTCCAAAGCCAGGGCCATGGCACCAAGGCAGCGTTAGCCCAGCACAGCCCTGACACCTACAGCTGAGCCAGCGACCGGGACAGGCAGAGCAGGGGTGGCTCAGTGTGATGCTTATGGGCAGGCGCTGCAGGTCTGCAGTGGGTGACAGCACATGGCCTCTCTCCTACGTCCCCATCCAGTGTGACCTCCTGCAGAACCACAGTGCTGGCAGCAGCCCTCTTGCAGCACACACTGCATGGAACCGAAGACAACGAGCTGCTTCTTCAGCTCTGAGCAGTTAAGGCTGCAACTCCTTATCCCAGACTGGTCTTTGTTAGTGTGAATGGCAGCAGGACCCAAAAAGGGCTGCCCCAATGTTTCACACCAACCCTGCTCCCCTCTCGCTGCGGGGACACCCCAGCCACCTTCCGTCCCTTTCTGGGAGATGCTGCGGACAGCTCAACGCTTTTACAGGCAGAGGGAATAGCACCCACGTCCCGCTGGCGCGGGGTGGGCGGGCGCGCATCGGGTGAGGCGGTGACGGGGCAGCTCACGCGGCATCTCGGCTGCCTCGTCCTGCTCATGGCGAGTCACGCTGCTGCAGCGGGGCTGCGGTAACCGCCTGCCAGCGAGCAGCCCTCGCCCGGGGGAAAACACAAGGGAGCAAAGATACACCGAGGACGGGGACAAAGTCCCTCTTGGGAGAACGATGGTGCCAAA